TTGAATATGATAAGGATTATTGGGTATGACATATGCAGGATATCCAGTAAACCTATATATGAAGGTAAATATGTTTTTGCCTTCTGTAGATATTGAACTAGGGACATGCGTTTGGTGACCTAGAAGCACTACCCACTGTGCTATTGATCTACAGGTCTTTTTATATTTGTCTTTTAATTTTATTTCTTTTGGTATTTTTATATTATTATTAATTTTTATTTTGATTTGATTGTTATTATATTTTTTCAATAATCTATATACTGTATATATTTTTTTATAAACTTTCAATCTTGGATTTGTTTTTAAATTTGCTTTAATTCTTGTTTTATTTGTTTTTATAATTTCAAAGTTTATAATTATATTTGTACTATACTAATTAATTTTAAGTTTGTATTATTAATTTTGACTAAAATTTCAATATTTGTTTCTATTATTATATAAATTCAATTATAAATATATTTAATTAAATTTGATAAAATTTGTATTTATAACAAGTTATCTATTATTTAATTAAATGATTTTAAACTTTTTATTGTTTTTTTTAACTAACAATATTATTGTTTTACTTAAATAAATGTTTTTGATATACTTATTTGTTTGTTTTTTTTATATATTTTTTAAAATTAATATTAAATTAATATTTGAAATAAAATAATAAATTATAAATCCTCTTACTAATTTAAAAAATAGATATTCCAAAAAAATTATATATTTTTTTATAACAAAGTCTATATATACTTTCTAACAACATTAATATTCAAAGACTTTAGTATTTCCTTACTTGTTTCTCTTCTTCTTTGACATAAACTTTTTGTATTTCTGTAAATAAATACAAGAAAAACATATTTACAAAGTTAAAAGCAAGAATACTTTGCTAGGAAAAAAAAACTGTAAAAAAAATATATTCATTCTTTTCTCCAAAGGTTCAAGATTCTAGAGAATATTATTACTAACTTTTGAAACTCTTCTTTTATCTTTTTTAAGTTTCTCTCCTATCTTCTCAAGCATATATATTTTTTTCTAGTTTTTTGGAGAAATTTTGTCTATCTTAGTTTGATCTTGGATTTTTGATTACATTAAAACTTTTAAATGATAATTGGCTAGAAATTTGGACTGGTTGGTCTATATATAGCAAAAAATATAAACAAGACATGTAACTCTTATATGCCTTATCTCGTATAATAATAAATTCGATAATGCTATTGAACACAGTGAAAAGAGCAAAGTAATAAAGTATTTATTTTGTTAAAATATGTTATAGTATTTCTTCTTTCTTCTAAACTAGTTTCTTTTTTCTTCAAAATTAAAAGAAGTCTTATTTCAATCCAATAACAAGCTTCTTTTATTATTAATTGTCTTAAGAAAGTATTAAGCAATAATTCTCTAAAATATAAATCTTGTTTCAAGCAATAATTTCTTAAAGGTTATAAGACTTGTTATAAGTATCTTGAATATTCTTGATTAGCAATAGAATAGTGAAAATTAAATAGTTCACACAATTGCAGATAATGGTAAAGGATTTATTTCAATGAACCAAGGTTAACATTGAAAGGTTTTTATTTATTAGAATAAACTTTTCAATTACTCTTTCTATTTTTTTTTATCTTCTTAAAAAATAAAAAATTTTTATCTCTGAGAACTACAGGTTTATATTGGAGTAATAGTCTAAATATAAACTAATTATGATTTTTTTTAAAACTAAAGAGTAATTTTTAAAAAAAAGTAATTTTATTATTTTTCACAATTACATTTAAAGAGTTAAGATTTGAAAAGTTTAAAATAGTTAATATTATGCAGTAATAGCTTAATAAACCAATTTTCTTATAGTGAAATAATTTGTAAATAGTTAAATCATATAAGCGATACAATGGTCTTGGTATTAAGAATTTAAGGATTATATACAAATCTAAAAATAATTTGTTAATAAGTATTCTACATTATGCACAGTTTAGCTCTAATATAAAATCTTAGGATTCAATATATTATTGTTTTATTTTTTATGAAAAAGTAATAAATACAGCAAATTGCAATCTGATTAAAGGAAAAAAAAAAAAAAAATAAATTAAAAAAATAAATTATAAATTATAAAAAAAAGATTTTTTTTTATTTTAAAATTAAAATTCTAATATATAAACAAAAGATTTATAAATTTTATATTTTGAAAAAAGTTTAAAAAATTATATTTTACTTTACTATTCCAATGCCAAAGTATACTAGTTAAAATATTAAAAAATACCTGTGTTATAAAAAACATATACCTTTATAACTAATAAATGAGACTAATAAACGTGTCTTGAACCAGTATCTTGAGAAAAAAGCATTCAATATTTTTATTGTGATAGCCAATTATATTCAATTGACAAAAAGTTAATTCAAATCAATTAAGAATTTCCTTTTTCAAATTTTAGTTACACTAAATCGAGATCGATCTGGTCTGTTGTCAATTTCCGATTGGACGTTACGTAATAGTCGAAGAGATGCGATTTCTTGAACGGAAGCTTCTTGATCTATGTCCAAAATGTTTCTGATCTCGTTGCCAAAGTGCTTTTCGCTCTTGATTATAACACTCAGCTTATATTGGCAAGTTGTCTGTGGACTCTATGAAGACCAAGCCGGAATAAACGATTGGTGTGTAGAAGCGTGTGTCCACAGATTGATTATTTATGATTGTTTATTCACTAACAGTTTTTCTTTAATCTTTTAGGCATCATCAATACATAGGAACGCCCAAATTCTCTTTTTTTCATAAAGTTCCCTCTCGGGGCTCAGTGATCCTAGTCGCTTCCGAACGAAATGTAATTGCATCAATAAGCCCTCGCAACGGAAATATAGGTTTGTACCATTACTTGCTAGGATTCTTCAGCACGCCAAATTGTATCAACATTAATAGCTGATTCCGTTCGCGTAACAGAATGGCGTCAGGTTCTCGAAGATGATGAAGTTATATTGGCTTATAAGAGTCACCAGAGCTGTATGTATGACATGATGCACGATCAAAGCTTTTTCTCGACCAGGCTATTGATTTATTCAAATTTTATATTCTAGCCATTGTTTCTGTGAGCCATCGTGACGGATATAATGTTCGTTTATTGGAAGCTCATACGGGGTTCATGATATGGGAGCAAAAAATTAAACCAATTGGACACGATGACGTAGTTACTAGCCGTAATTTTGAAGATGATGCACCAAAGGCTGATGTTGTTTTTACAGCTGATTCTGGAATTGTGATTTTGGTCGAAGGGTCCACGATTGTAAATCTAAATAGCACCACTGGTCGACAAATTTGGAGTTCAAGTATAACCGACAGGTATGCACATACCAAAATATTGTTTTATTCAGTACTCCTCGACTGAAATTAATCCTTACATATTACATAACATAATTTAGTTCATCGCTTTTTTATAAACTTGTCGAGCGTGAACAAAATGTGTTTGCTATCGGTCTTAAGAAGTCTTTTAGGTCTTATACTATTGAAGTTGTTACATGCGATATTCGAAGCGGGGCTTTAAAATCAACCTCTCTCTCTTCGAAAATTGATCATATTAAAAATATGTTAGTTCTAGGTGGCGGACCTAATAGTGGTTTTGTCGTCTGGGTTGAGGGAAAGCATATGCGTGTTAATCGTTTGGGTAGTAGTAACATTGAACAAGCTCCTTTGGAGGTAAATTATAATGATCTTTAGATTCTAAACAAGAGATTCTTTCTTTTTTATCGAAGTAAAAAAAATTATTTTTTTTAGACACTCTATGGAAACGTCATACCTTCTTTTGCACATTCTACTGGGAAACTTGAACTCATTGATCTTAACCTGGGATCCAGAACGGAATTTCTTGCCCAAATTCAAACGAAAGATGGGAACTATTCCGCAGCCGTTCTCAAGGTTGATCCTGTAGGTGGGCGTTTGCTGGTACTCCACGACATGGAAGATAGAGTAGGAATTTTAATTATTTGATCTTCTATTCTTACTTTAAAGGATCAAATACAAACAATAATCTGTCCATCATGTTACAGGAGGGTATATCCGCATATTCTGGTACATTTGACAAAAATGAACGTCTCATAATGTCTAGAGTCAGAACGGTGCAAGAGGTGCCTATTTATGAGCTTACATTCTGCAAAGGTTTTCGAAATGCAACGTTTACTTGAGTTAATTGTGAACATAGGGTCAGGCCGTGATCGAGATTGTCGCTCCTGCTTCTCACGAAGTTATTAGCGTTCACAAAATTCCATACTCGATTTCCACATCTGGAGTGATAAAGAAGGCAGTGTACATGTTCATGTAATCTTACGATCAGGTTATTTTGTAATTTGACCATATGTATATTAATTTTAGACGGTACTTGATGTACTTGCCAAGACAAGTAATGAAAAAGTAAATGTGGCTTATCGCATGTATGCAATTTCGGACGACGGTTCTACACACTTCTTGAAGAAAGATGAAATAGTTTGGCAAAAAGAAGAATCCCTTGCACATGCGACTGAAGTCGAATTTCTTGACCTGCCTGAAAGGAAATTGTGGACGCAAGAGGTTGACGAACTAGGTACGTTAAATTATGTGCTACCTTGATATTTTGATGTCACGGATTATAAAATTGTCTTATGTTTATTAATTCAGCTGAACAACCCGAAGAAGCTGAAACCATTTCCCCATTCGCCCGTTATGTCCGACGATTGAAAACGCATTTCGAGCAACTTCATGTATACGAATTTGTCATTAGGATTTCATCCTTGGTTTAAAATTGACATTAATATTTTTTCCTTATTCATAAATACAGGATTTACCAAACTATTTGATCACATACGTTCAAAGATTCGTGACTGGCGATTACTCTCAGGGCCCAACATCTGCAAAATTGAGTATATATAGAGATACATTTGGCTTCCGCAAGTTATTGATTTTCATTACACGCAAAAAAGTTATTGCTTTGGACACCAGTAATAAAGGTCAGATAGTATGGTCTCGATACTTTGGGAACGAGGTTTTCGAATTTCAAAGAATATTCACAGTTCGATCGTCGACCGTCAAATTTCCACCGATTGTCGTCACAACTGGGATAATAAAACACACTGATGTACGAATCCATGAATTGGATGTTGATTCAGATGTATGATAAAATTCCAACTAATTTCTTTTCCGTGAAATAGGGAAGCATCTTTACTCGCCTCTTTCGACTTAACGCTCTCACTGGTGAAGATTTTATTCCTACAGAGAATGCATTACTTTTTCCCTCAACTTTTGATGTGCAAGGAAGTACACAAAAAATCTTTAAATTACCATTAGAAGAACCTGAAGAAAGAACTCATATCCTCGCGTTAATTGGTGAAGATTTAAAGGCAAGGTTAATATTATTAAGTTGATGTTTTTGTTCACATCTTTTATATCAAAAGTTTCCACTAAGCATTTATTATTCTTATTTAAAACATTTTTTTTCTTTAATTCTACAGATTTCCATATACCCGAACCATGATAATTCAGTCAAAGAATTCTTGAAATTTGCTCCATCATTTTACTTTGCCTTGTCCGGGAGTAACAACCTGAAAGGATATGGATTTGTGCTTGACAAAAATAATAGTGTATGCACACATGTTTCAGATAGATACTTTGGAAATTCGATTACAACAATTGATGATCTGTTTTTTTTTCATTAAAAAAGTTATTTGAAATCGATGAACTCTGGAATATTGAGTTTCCAGAAGGTGATAAAATTGCGGCGATTGGGCATAGGCCTCAACACGGTAATCATTCTTTGCTTTATCTATTCCGTAGATGCAATATATTTAATGAAATTTTATATATAGAAAAAGTTGCCTCTCTGGGTCGCGTTCTTGGTGACCGCTCAGTTTTCTACAAATACCTTAATCCACATCTCGTTGCTGTCGCCACCATTTCGTCTTCGGTACCGGCAAACCTGAATATTCATTTGATCGACATAGTTAAGGGAACAATTTTGTACCAAGCCACCCACGACAATGTTGGATCTTCACATCCTGTTCTGATAACCCAAGTTGAAAACACTATTTTATACCATTATTGGAAGGATTGCCAGTCGGAAAAAGGATACGAAGTTGTAGTGTACGATTTGTACGAGAGCGAAAATAAGGATGAGCGATTCAATAAGTAAATATGATGTTCGTTCTGAAATTACAAGATGTCAAATATGCTAAGCAATTTATTATCATATTCTGAAGGTTCAACTTCTCTTCGTTTTACCACGAACGCCCTTAT